GCGGAAAATAGAAATCAAGTTTTTGAGAAACGGAGCATCTGATTTGAATAATTCAAAAAACGTTAAATTTGTTATGATGGTGAGAGAAGTGGAAATTAGTTTTGTCTAAGGCAGGTCTAGCCGTTCGGAGATACGCAGCCTATTGTGCAAAAATGGCAGTTTTTGAGAGAACTAAGCATCCAATTTGAATTATTTAAAAAACTGCATGTGTGTGACGAAACGATTGCTTTGAATAGGCAATTTTTTTTCCAAACATTTTTTTTTGGAATAGCGAAAATGATTTTAATTCTAGATAGATACAATTCTAAAGCTCATTATATACTTTAATTAAATAATTTTAACTTAACAATTCATTTATATGATATGTTTATGTGAAAATATGAGATAAGCTCCTCTAATTAACTTCCCGTAGGGCAAGTTATAGTAATCGCAAAAAATCGAAAATGAAAATTTTTATAATCTTTACGTTTCAAATGGTTTCTGACATTTTGGCTAACCTTAGAAAAAATGGATGTACGTGTGGTGTGTGTATGTGTGTGTGTGGTATGTGTGTGGTTCGTTGTATGTATGTATGGTTCGGATACAAATTTTCGTCGACGATTTCGGGAACACGAACAACCGATTTGAATAATTCAAAAACATTCGATTCGTATTGGTGAGGAAGCGTGCTGATTAGTTTTTGGCGAAGGCAGGTCTAGCCGTTCCGAAGATACGGGCAGAAAGTCCAAAAACGGTAATTCAGTTTTTTAAAAGACGGAGCGTCCGATTTGAATATTCAAAAAAAAATTACTTGTATGACTAAATGAAGAACTGTTCAAATTTTTGGAAAGGCAGGTCCAACGACTTTGGAGGTATGGAGGAAAAAGTAAAAAAAGAGCATTTGGCGGTCAAAAATGATCATAGAGATTTTAACAATAAGTATAAATTTTGTTTTACATTCCTATGGGTTCCGTACCAATGTTTACGCGTTAGAGGCGCGACGCGGGCGCTTACGCGCTTCGATATTTCGTCTTTATACAGATAAAGCAGTATGATTGCTTTGAAAAAAGTTCAGAATTTCCAAAATATTTCAAAATAAATGATTTAATATAGAAAATGATTTGATATGGTTCGAAATTCTATTAAAAGTTTCAAATCATTGATCAACTTTTATTGATTAATATTATTATTTTTTAATTACTCGAATTTTGAATTGCTGGGTACGGGAAGTTCCAGCAATTTGCCTTAAGGCAAGATGCCCTAATTGCCTTAAGACAGAATTCCACTTACAGCTAGTTCTAACTCCACTTTATATCGATTTTTTGTATTTTAAACATATAGAAACGTCATTATTATAATATATTTGAAACCATTTAATATTCTTCAAATTTCTCATTACGGTACGGGAAGTTTCCAGCAATTTGCCTTAAGGCACGATGCCATGCACACCACTAGTTTAAATCAGATTTTACAGAGTGACTTCAGTATTTAATACTACATAAAAATAACATGTTTTTTAGTATAAGTTCTATTATTTAAACAATTACATAGCTACATTAATTTAACAAAAATATAAATTATTTTCTTCCTCCTCATTTTCTTTAAAGGCATTCTGTTGGTTTATCATTTGCTGCAATTTTAGCTTCACGTGCTTGTCTCCTCAGCTCCTTTTGCTGCTTCCTATCAGCCTTTTCTTTCTGCGCCAACATTTCTTGGAACTTCTCATCACGAGGATCTAATTTGAATCCAAAGTGCCTTCTTACCTCTTCTACTAACCTATCTTTACGCTCCTGGAAAGAAAACAATTAAAATAAAAAATTAATTAAGTAAATAAAATTAAATTATTCCTGTACCTTTGCTTCTCTGGCTTCCGCTTCAGCTTTAGCCATTTTCTGCTTAAGTTTGTGTTTCCAATCTTGTAATTTTAAGAGTTTCTTGTCTTCTTTGCGATTTCTTCATCACGTGCTCTCATGGCTTCTGCTTTTTGTTTTTTCTCTTCGGCAACCTTCTTCATCATTTCAGGGATTGTTTCGGGGTATTTTACTCTTTCATATTCGAGGGTATCTTCTAGATCTCTTTGTCGGGCCAACATAGAGCTGGGTAAAGATAATAAATAAATAAATATATATATATATATATATATATATATATATATAAGATATTGAATTAATTGTATATTTATTTGCAGACTTAAAGGAGCAAACTTGGCTGGAATGTCTTTTATGAAAATATTTTGCACAAAACATAGAAACATTCTATAAAAGTAAGTAGTTACTTTATTTATTTCTTACTATATTTATAATGCTGTAGTGTACATTTTGTTTGTTCACAGACTTGAGACTGCATAAAGACCGATTGTGAAGATTTATCTTGCGAAAACATCATACAAGCAGAATACAAAGGAATTCAGGTACTTCAATCAATCATTATTATTATTATTATTACTATAACTTTTATCCTTTACCTGGATTAACATTACTACTGCCTCCGTACCTCCCAACATCCATTCGTTTATATTTAACAGTTTCATGTATCCACGACTGTGGTTCTTGGTACGGAACCTTTCCCCAGCACCATGTTCCTGTGCTGAGGAAGCAATCTGGATTTATTCCTTTTTTCTTCAATAATCCTCTCTCTATCGATTTCATCGTCCTCTTCATAATCTTGGAAAGTATTTAATTCTTGTACGCCTGTTTGTTTTCCGCGAACTATCACATGTTTATAGGAAGGTAGAATTCGACGTATCATGTTATTCATATTTTTTGTAATTTATATTAATAATGTTAATTTGAATGAATTATATTGCGTTTAAGAATGAATTTAACATAACCTCAAAATTTGAAATATGTTGACAGATTAGAACGGGATTGGGTAATACTATTTTACTCAGTAACGTAAGTGAAGTGAGCAATTAATAGTTTTAACGGATTTATTAATTTAAAATAGTAACTAGTGGTGTATGGCATCGTGCCTTTAGGCAATTTGCTCGAACTTCCCTTACCATAATGAAATATTCGAGAAATTTTAAACGTTTTCACATATATTATTACAAATACTGTAAATTTCATTATTTTTGCTATCTTGTTATATCTGAGCACATCAAATGTAAATCATAAATCAATTTATCTGCTATCATCTATTAACAATCGTCATTTCATTTCGAATTCAATTTCATAAAAATAGTTGCTTATGATCATTTCGCACAAAATTGAAAAAGTACTCCCGTTAAATAACAGTCTAAACGCGCTTGCAAATAGTTTTGTGCGAAATTTTCACTTATACTGTGCTTAGTTTGGCGGCATTTTCACATTTTTCAATAGTTTTCACAAATAGACAGTCTAAACACACTTGGGTAAACAATTGTACCAGAGTGGCGCTTAGACTGTGCTTAGCCTGGGTAATTTTTTGAATTTTTAACCCAAAATTACATTTGTATGATTTATTTATCTAGAATTAAAATTAATATCATAATTATTTCGAAACAAAAATTGTCTTTTCCAAAAACTAATTGCCAACAAAAATTTGTATCCGCACATATGCACACACACACATCAATTTTTTCTAAGGTATGCCAAAATGTTCAGAAACTTTTCAAATGTAAAGAGTTAATAAAACAGCTCAATAAATTTTTGTGATTTATATATTACCATACACTTAAATTAACATAATAAATGTAAATAATTCACCTAATAATAAACAAAATTCACCTATTTCAACAAAATTAAAATAAATATTACATCTATTTATGAAGTGCTATTGTTGGCTTTGTTTAAAAGCTGCTGATCTGCATTTGCTAAATTCCAATTATGTTCGATTATTTGCAAAGCTTCCCATTCGGCTTTGAATGCACTTTTTGGATCTGGTGGCATTGCCATGGCTGCTCCGGACATTTGTTCTTGCATTATTCGGGTTTGATCAGAGGCTGAAAAAAATAAATAAATGAAATACATATATATATATATATATATATATATGTGTGTGTGTGTAATTACCATTATTTTCCCCTAAAACTAAAGTGTAGATACTGCGCAGACCAAAAACATTCAAAAAATACCAACTGGCAGATGATACCCAACTAGCATCCAATGAAGCTAATTCCACACCTCTTTGTAACATCGGTTTAAACCTCAACGTCAACGGAAATGGCACTTTTGCTAAAAACAATAACACAACATTAGCACAATTTTTCTTATTAGTATTTATATTTTTTATCCATACTTGTAACAAATCCTGAGAACATCCAATTAATCCAGCCACCGATAACAATCATAGGCAAAACATTAGTAATGTTTCCTTTTAACATGTCTGTCATAACACTTGGATCGGTCATGGGGTTGTTATTTGTGGCAGGTCGTTTCTGGGTTTTGAAATAACCGGTTTCTTCGTTGTTGAAGAAATGTCTTCGCATCAGGAATGATTGGGGGTGTAAATAGTTGCCATTCTCTCTGAGGTATCTCGCTCTTATCATCACCTGACTAGAATAGAAATAATATAATTTATGAAAACCTATGATGGTACTAATATAATTTAAAATGTTAAAAACAATTTTGATATATAATTTACATAGGTGTAAGTGATTTTTAGTACTGGCTGATAACAAATATTTGTACCTGTCTTGCAATTGTTGCAATTCAACTTTTTTCTGTGATGATAATAACATTGCTATATAATGTCTAACAATTCCAACTAAAAACGTTATTACTACGATTGGTAAAAACACCCATCCTCGTATATTAGGATCTAGAAGCAATTCCATATTTTATTTATTGATTTTAAACATTAATTTATTTAATTATGATTAAATTTAAATTAATTATTTAAGAGGTTATGGTTAAAATGACACTTGTCAAATGGGGGCAAGGTACGGAGTGAAGTTGTATGCGAAAAAACTATTTTAAATATATTTTATATTATGATTATATTTATAAAAACTGTTATTTTTTATGGTAAAAGATGAGTAGAAGTATTTATGTGCAAATATGCAAGTGAAATTACAAAATAATGCTTGTTATTTGTTGATTTATTTCTACAACCCTCAGTGAACGAGTTTGATATTTATTCCCCCATCTGGCAACACTGATTTCTGACATCTCCTCTCAATCTGTCAACTTTTGTCATGCACAACTCAAGTTGATAAAATGTTATTTATTCCATTCGATTTCGCGTCGAATTTAATAAAAACCTTTTAAACAAAAACACAAAATCGTTTCTACAAATGTTAACGTGCAATCGTTCTACAAAACTTTCAATTCGGACGTCCGTCTTAAACTTATGTGTCTGCTAGAAAGTGTTTCTATTTCAGTGGCGATTGTTGGGATTGCTCTCGAAATAAACCAATGCGAAAATTAATGGAAAAATGTCTCGATCGTCAATAGAAAGCAAAATTGACGGCTTGGAGAATAAGCTGAAATTAGAAAATGAAAGACGGGATAGTACTCATGGAAGGTTTTCGATGCCTAAGGGGAATGGTTTTAAGAAACCTATACCACCTCGTAAGTATAATAAAAACTATATATTTGATTTATCTAATGTATTATAAAACTAAAACAAATCATGCACAATATATACGTATATATATATATATATATATATATATATATATATATATATATTATTCATTTACTACGAATCTTAAGCAGAATTCAATATTTAACACAACTATTTCATTACATCTATGTTTTATTACCAACTTTCTATTTCAGTTGGAGAATTCAAATCAGATGGCACGCCGGTCAGACAGAGAAAAAATTTGAACCTTCCATTCCCGAGCTCATTACCAAAGCAAGATCCTACTGAGACTGAGAACAAATTAAAGGAAATTTATAAGATGCAAGGAAAATTGAAAATAAATGGAACTCAATATTTTGCTACGCAAAACGATTTAGAGGATTTGGGCGAATTGGGAAATGGATCTTGTGGACATGTCGTTAAGATGTTGCACAAACCTAGTGGTGAAGTCATCGCTGTCAAGGTAATAAAAATATATATAAAAAATATCAAAATTTCAAGTTTTTGCAAAGTTTTTTTTAATAATTTAGTTTTAAGACACAATGCCATACACAACTAGTTTTTTATTTCTATTCCAGCAAATGAGGCGATCAGGCAACACTGACGAAAACAAGCGCATAATCATGGATTTAGAAGTGGTTTTGAAATCCCACGATTGCCCTTACATTGTACAATGCCTAGGCTGTTTTATAACCGATGCGGATGTTTGGATTTGCATGGAACTGATGGCAACTTGTTTTGATAAACTATTAAAAAGACTCAACAGGCCGATACCGGAAGATATTCTTGGAAAAGTCACCGTTGCGGTAAGAGACAGAGAAATAAACAATCGTATGTGGATATATATTTTTTTTACCATTTATGTATTTATTGTTTTAGACTGTTAATGCTTTGTCATATCTCAAGAACAAACACGGTGTTATTCATAGAGATGTGAAGCCTTCGAATATCTTGTTGGACGAACGGGGCCGAATAAAACTATGTGATTTTGGTATTAGTGGAAGATTGGTGGATTCAAAAGCGAAAACCAGGTCTGCGGGTTGTGCAGCTTATATGGCTGTAAGTGGATAAATATCATTACATAAATATTATTAAAAAATACTACATGAACTTTATTAACTTCCCGAAGGAGAAGTTTATGTTTTCATCAAAAAATCCGATTCGCTAATTTTATGTTTTCTCGACGTTTCAAGCCATTCTGAATCGAATGAGAATTTAAGGAAAAAGTGTGTGTGTGTGTGCGCGCGTGTATGTGAACAGATTTTTTGCCGTAAATCGACGTTTTCTCAAAAACGGTTGGGCCGATTTCAAAAATTTAAAAGCCATTCGATGTATCTCGATGAGGACTATTGTTTGTCAGTTTTGTGCGACGATCGGCCGAGACGTTTTTTTTATAAATAGCAGAAATGTGAAAAATTTTTCGTGCACGTTTTAGCCCGCAATTCTGAACCGATTATGAAAATTCAAAAACCGTTCGAAAGGCATTTATTGGGAATCGTGCTGATTAGTTTTTGGTAAAGATCGGCCGGGCCGTTTTCTTGTAATAAAGTGTTAAAAAATTTTTTTTCGACGATTTTTATTATTTTTTTGACGGTAGATACTATAGTCTTCTAGATCATACTAAAACATTACGGCCCTACGACAACTGGTTCAGCTTTAAAAATTCGTCAAAGTTTGCAAAAATTAGTATCGTTTTTTGGCATTTGTCAAAATTAGACCTTTCATCGACGTTTTCTCAAAAACGCCTGAACCGATTTTAGAAATTTAAAAGCCATTTGATGTATTTCGGTGAGGATTATCGTTTGTCAGTTTTGTGCGACGATCTGCCAAGCCCGTTTCTTTGTAATTTGAAAAAAAGTGTTAAACTTTTCGTCCACATTTAAGCTCATCCTACCGAACCGATTTTAAAAAATCAAAAACTGTTCGAAAGATATTAGATGGAAATGATACTGATTAGTATTAGTTGAAAATCAAATTTAGGTGATAAATTGCAAATTATTCTATCAAAAATATAGAAATTCCGACGTTAGATGTTATAAAAACAGCTTTTTTTTCTTGAAACTATATATTTTCTGATTTTATATTTTGCCGCCAAAACGTAATTCGAAAACCGATTTCAAAATATCAAAAACTGTTCGAAAGATATTAGTTGGGAATGATACTGATTGGTTTTAGGTAAAAATCTACCGAGCCGTTTTCTTGTAATGAACTGTTGAAAAAAAAATTGAAGCCGATTTTCATGGAACTTTTTTTGGTGATATACATCATGGTCTTATCGAACTTACTGTAATATTACGGCCTTACGACAAGTAGTTTAATTTTAAAAATTCGTCAAACTTTGCTAAAATTATCATTTTTTTTAAAGTAGGATTGATGAAGTATATTATTTACACATTTTTTTTTATTAAGCCCGATTATTTACACATATCGGGAAGTTCATGTAACTTGCTTCAAGGCTAAATACCAAACCAACTAGTTTATTATATATTTTCAGCCAGAACGAATAGATCTGAGCCTAGCAGATTATGATATTCGAGCCGACGTCTGGTCATTGGGTATTACTCTAGTCGAATTAGCCACAGGACAGTTTCCTTACATGGGATGTAATAACGATTTCGAAGTCCTCACCAAAGTTCTGGAAGAGGATCCGCCTACGTTGTCTGCACACGGCGGGTTTTCTGCTGAATTTCAAAATTTTGTAAATCGCTGGTAAGTAATAGATATTATTATTACATTATATATATATATATATATATATATATATATATATGTTATTATTATATATAGGTTCTTGTTGTAATATATCTTATATATATATTAGGTTGTCAAATATCTCCCTTCCGCTTTTTTGCTCTTGGCTTATAATACAAAAAGGCGGAAGGGAGATATTTGACAACCTTATATATATATATATATATATATATATATAAATATAAATATAAATACTTCTGTACGGGTGTATGATTTGATAATTCTCCTAAACGGTTATTCAGATTTTGATAATTCTTTTTAGAGTTTGCCAAAGGAAATTTTTAAGATTTAATGAACGTTAAAACTATAGTAATGTTGTTGAGATAAATGGCAAAAATTACAAAAAATCACTCATTATTGTTTAACATTGACTGTCATCTGCTAGAAATGTCAATTCACTTGAAATTTGAATTTAGCTGAAATTATGAGCCTAGATAATATTAGAATATAATATACAAGAAAAATGCAATGTCTATATTATTATTGCCGAAAAGCAGCTGAAATGTGCCACAAATTAAAATAATATAAGATACAGTCAACAGTATACGTTTGGCGGATAAAATTATATTATTCAGTTTAATAAATAAGGCAACAAGTCCAAAATTCCGTACACATTATTTTTTTAAACTTATGAATTTAGTATTTTGGTTAACTTTACTAAATTATTTAACAATACAAAAAGTATTTTTACTTAATACAAAAATAGAAATCGAAATTTTGAGAGAACGGAGTATTCTTTGGAAGATTTAGAAACTGGACCATAAAATTTTAAAAAATTTGCAGTTGAAATGCGAACTTTGATACTTATGTATTTTGATACTTTTGGGGACATTCTTTTTTATTTTTCTTCAAATAACTTTTAATTTTCTTCCAAGACATTTTAATTTGGTGACATTAGTGAAAAAAAAGATAAAATTTACTAGATAAAATTTACTAAAATCTAGTAAACACTGTTTTTACCATTTGGATATTAAAATTTTGAAAAATTTGCAGTTGAAATGCGGACTTTAGAATTTTGATAATTTGCACAATATTGATTCAGGACATTTTTTAACTTTTTTGCAAATAACTTTTATTTTTTTTCCAAGACATTTTAATTTGGTGGCGTTAGTAAAAACTAGATAAAATTTACTAAAATCTAGTAAACACAGTTTTTACTAATTGGATATTAAAATTTTGAAAAATTTGCAGTTGAAATGCGTACTTTGGTACTTTAATAATTTGCAATATATTGACTCAGGACATTTTTTTAGATTCCTTCAAATAACTTTTTATTTTCTTTGCGGACATTATAATTTGGTGACATTATTAAAAACTAGTTAAAATATCTAAAATCTAGTAAACACTGTTCTCACCACTTGGATATTGAAATTTTGAATAATTCACTGTTGAAATGCGGTTTTCAGTATTTTGATAATTTGCCATATATTGATTTGGGACATTTTTTACTTTTTTGCAAATAACTGAGAATTTTCTTTTCGAGCATAGAAATTGGTGGCATTAGTAAAAACTAGATAAAATTTACTAAAATCTAGTAAAAATCGAATACACAATTCGATATATTATTTTTGAATAATTCGCAATTGAAATGCGGACTTTGGTATTTTGATGCATTTGAGGACATTTTTTTTACTTTTCTTCAAATAACTTTCAATTTTCTTTTTGGACATTATAATTTGGTGACATTAGTAAAAACTAGATGTAACAGAAATGCATTTTAGTTCAGATTTTTATTTATTTGTATTATATAACAGCAACGCGTACGTGCAAACCCGACGAACTTCGTTTCGCCACCAGATGGTTTCGTGAGAAAGATGAAGAAATTTTTTGTTTGTTTTAAATTTGAAAAAGAAAAATTTGATTTTATTATACAACAGTAATGAATTTATTTCGATTACAAAAATGAAGTGTTTTTTAGTTGAACTTCTCTAAGTAAATGAAAGTGAATCCGCCAATTATCGGTTTCATTGAAGTGCTCTTTGGTAAACCACATTTTTTGTTTTTTGGCCTGACGTTAACACAAACAAAGCGGATGGATTTCGAACTCGTGAACAGGCAACGTATAACTGCCCAGGTGAAAAACAATGATTTTCTAAATAATCTATTTGAAATTTATCCCGCAAACACTAAGCGATTGGCCTTGAGACTTGTTATTGCGAACGCAAGGCGAAGTGACGGAAGACCAGTCGGAATCATTGGTATGTCACCAAATCGCCAGCAATTTTTGATTGAATGGTGAAATTCAGTGCGTGTACAACATATTTCTTGGCGGCAAGAATTGCTCGTTGACTTAACCAAGCATAATTCTGATAATTCTCACTAATGTGATTACTCGAATATTTAATTACGGTGCGTGAAGTTCCAGCAATTTGCATCAAGGCACGATGCCATGCACCACTAATTTTCTTAGCTATAAACCTTGCGTAGACCGAGACCTTTCCAACGAATGCAAAATTGTCAAAATCGGTTCGTGCGTTTTGGAGTTATTTCGTCAGGAAGGAAAACCCGACTTATTTTTATATATATAGAAGATAATTTTCTAACACTACTATGTTATTTTATTTCCAGCTTGACAAAAAACTATCAGCAAAGGCCCAAGTACGATGAGCTGCTAAAGCATCCCTTCGTTGTCATGTACACGACACGAGAAGTCAATGTTGCAGACTGGTTTCGAAACAACGATTTGCAATTTAATGACAGGTTTTCTACCCCTAGGAGGTGAGTGAATGTTTGAAGAGAGCGATAGAGAATTGTTATATATGGGAATTATATCAGACAACAATTAAAGTTTAATTTGATAACTGATACAGTTCCTTGTATAAAATATTTAGTTATATATAAATTTTATGCATGTTTTGTTTGATTAAGGCCAATTGCATTACTATTAAGTTATATCTAAAAAACATTTTTAAAATTTTTGAAAATTTTCTCATGCTATTTCCATACAAAATTTTGATTGAATTGCGCACTATCTAAAATACAATATTAGGAGCTAAAACTTTCAGAGAATTGTTTTTTATCAATTTGGAACTATTTAAGCCCTTGGGAGCAATAAAATTCGAAAATGTCCATATTAAGGACCACTCTAATATATATATATGTATATATATATATATACATTTTTTCCTATGCATGCATATGTAATGCAATTGGCATTTGAGTTTTTCCCCGTAGTGTGATTTATCATTCCGATAGATAATTTTTATCTGTAATTTTTTTTTACTTAACTAGAGCTAAGCTGAGAATGTATTTTGTAGTGATTTTATTTATATTTAACTTAAAAGTTTAGTATATTAAAAATTATTTTATGTAATCAGAACTCATTTATCTATTACACTTTTTAAGTAAATTAGTCACAATTTTAATATACATATATACATATGTAGCGATTTATTATATAGATTGTCGAACGAAAGAAAAATATGTATATATATATATATATATATATATATATATATATATATATATATATTAACAAATAAAGATAAAGAATATTTTGAAGGTACTTGGAAGATTTTCTGACTTCATATAATTTTTTTATCTGTAGATTGTGCTTTTTTGTTAGTAAACAAACGGGTAAATTGTTTTTATTTTTTATTATATATATATATATATATATATATATATATATATATATATATAGCTTTAGATTTTTTGTTCGACATCATCGGCGTTTGATTTTTTTTGTTTATTCTTGAAATATTAATTTGCAGCCAAATAATCGAACTAAAAGGCAATCAATAATTGAACTATTTATTTTGTACGTTTCGACACTATATGCGTATCATCATTCAGCATATTTTTAACAAATATTTTTCTTAATATATTATAAAAATTAATAAAAGATATACATGTAAAAAAATGAATACATACAACAAGATCAAGAAAAAATGCAGAATATATTAGACTACATTGTTCCAAAAAAATAAAATAAATCAATAAAATAAAATATATTCTACAAAAAATATAAACTTTGTGAAATTTTTTTTGGTTATTGTTGAAATATGCTGAATGATGACACGCATACAGTGTTGAAATGCACTTAATGAATGGTTTCATTATTCATTATCTTTTACTTCGACTGCAAATTAACATTTTAAGAATATTGATATATATATATATATATATATATATATATATATATTATATTTCAAAGTAACTAGCAGTCCATTCGTCGAAGTAAAAATGTAATAAAGTATTTAAAAGCTTTTATTTATACGTTTCGATACCAGATGCGTGTCATCATTCAGCAACTACAATAAATTTCATTTCAAGCGTCATATTGTTACAGTTTAAAACTTTTTTCAAAATGTTTTTAATTTTGTAGTTATTCATTATTTTTTTCAAAAAAATGTCCTTTTCTAATATGTTACAAGTTTAATTTTTAAAAAATATTTTTTTGAGTGTTTTTGTCCTGGTGGTATGTGTAAGGTTTTTCTATGTTTATAATTATTTTATATTTGTTTTTTATTACTAGTAAAATGTTTCAAATTTTATTGTAGTTGCTGAATGATGACACGCATCTGGTGTCGAAACGTATAAATAAAAGTTTTTAAATACTTTATTACATTTTTACTTCGACGAATGGGCTGCTAGTTACTTTGAAATATGTTTCAACGTCGAAAAAACTATCAAGATATATATATATATATATATATATATATATATAATAGGGTGGTCCTTAATATGGAAAATTTCGAATTTCTTCGTTCCCAAGGGCTCAAATGTTTCCAAATTAATTTAAAAAAAATCCTCCAAAAGTTTTAGCTCAATAAATATTAACATTTAGATAGTCCGCAATTCAATTAAAAGTTATATATATATATATATATATATATATATATATATATATATATATTCATTATTAACGTATGTCATTAAGTAAATTCTTGCCCCATCTATGATAGCATTCGTGAACTCAAATATTATGACACTTAAAAATATTTATAAATCACTTAACCTCTAATTAATGAGGATTGTTTAACGAAATATTCATTCATCATGGCATCAAAATTAATTTTGCAGCAAAATATTTATTTAATTGGTGATTTTGACACTCAAATTATCAGTAATAAATTGCCATCATAATTGCAAGTCTGCTATCACAGATGGCGCAAGAATTTACTTAATAATAAATATACGAAACTTTTAATTGAATGCGGACTATCTAATTGTTAATATTGAGAGCTACAATTTTTAGAGAATTTTTTTTTTGTTATTTTGGAAGCATTTGAGCCCTTGGGAGCAAAGAAATTCGAAAATGTCCATATTGAGGATCACCCTGTTTGATTTTTTAATTTCTGAACTAAAACCCTTTCCATTATTTAAAAATTTTGGAACTAAATGTACATATTTTTATTTGTTATTAATAGTTCTTGAGAAAAGGGATATCCTATATCCCCGAAAAAAAATTAAGTAAATGATTTTTTTAAACAAAAAAAGACTTTCAGTTCAGAAGTTCAACAATCATAATTATTAACAGCTATATATATATATATATTTATATACATATATATATATATATATATATATATATATAATATTTATAATGGTGTGATGATTTGTCATAACTTATCTAATTAGTGTGATGCATTGTATTTTGTATTATTAAATAGTTTTATATAAATTTAATTTTTATTTGTATGACGATTTGATTTTGATTTTGAGATTCAATAAAGTGGCATGCTAAATTTCAATTTGTCTTTATTTTCAAAATTTATTAATTTGCCCAGTTTTAATTTTTCGTTCGACATTTTGTATATATATAATACAATGTATATATGTATATATGTAGAGTTTTATTTATGAGCAGTAGTTATTCTAGAGTTTTATTATTAAATACAATGCAAGTTTTGAGGCAATAGTTGTGTATATATTTATATTTAAAATATGCTTATTTGATAATATTGGTTTTATAGATTTGATTGTTGATTTAACAACTAATGTCGAACTAATAATATTAAAACTCGGGCTGTTTTCAGGTTTGCGGACTTAACATTATATATATATATATATATATATATATATATATATATATTGCACTAACAAATTATCTTCAATATTTCCAGATAATCTAGAACATTTTCAAAAAGTGTTCAACATTTTCAGATAATGCACAAAGTTGCAGTCAATCTAGAACTTTTTTAGACAATTCACATTCTAAGACAGTCTGCAACATTCCGAGACAGTTTGTAACATTCTGAGGCAGTTTGCAACATTTTCAGACAAACTACAACATTGTGAGACGATGTACATTTTCAGTCGTTTTACAACATTCTCAGACAAAATTGCAACATTTTGGAACCGTCTGCAACATTCCGAGACAAATGTTGCATCATTTTGAGACAATTTACAACATTTTCAGAAAGTGTTCAACATTTTCGGATAATCCACAATGTTTCAGTCAATCGACAACTTTTTCAGACAATTTACATTCTGTGACAATTTGCAACACTCTGGGACGGTTTGCAACACTCTGGGACGTTTTGCAACATTCTGAGATAGTTTGCAACATTCTGAGACATTTTGCAACATTCTGGGACGGTTTGCAACATTCAGGGACGGTTTGCAACATTCTGGGATGATTTTCAACATTGTGGGACGATTTTCAACATTCTGGGACGGTTTGTGCAACATTCTGGGACGGTTTGCAACATTGTGGGGCGACTGACGACATTCAGGGGCGATTTACAACATTCAGGGACTATTTTGAACATTGTGGGACGATTTTCAACATTGTGGGACGATTTTCAACATTGTGGGACGATTTTCAACATTCTGGGACGGTTTGTGCAACATTCTGGGACGGTTTGCAACATTGTGGGGCGACTGACGACATTCAGGGGCGATTTACAACATTCAGGGACTATTTTCAACATTGTGGGACGATTTTCAACATTGTGGGACGATTTTCAACATTGTGGGACGATTTTCAACATTCTGGGACGGTTTGTGCAACATTCTGGGACGGTTTGCAACATTGTGGGGCGACTGACGATATTCAGGGGCGATTTACAACATTCAGGGACTATTTTGAACATTGTGGGACGATTTTCAACATTGTGGGACAATTTTCAACATTGTGGGACGATTTTCAACATTCTGGGACGGTTTGTGCAACATTCTGGGACGGTTTGCAACATTGTGGGGCGACTGACGACATTCAGGGGCGATTTACAACATTCAGGGACTATTTTGAACATTGTGGGACGATTTTCAACATTGTGGGACGATTTTCAACATTGTGGGACGATTTTCAACATTGTGGGACTGCTTGAAATATTCTGAGATGTTTTGCAACATTCTGGGTCGGTTTGCTACATTCAGGGACTAATTTGAACACTGGGAGACGATTTACAACATTGTGGGCCGATTTTCAACATTGTGGGCCGATTTTCAACATTGTGGGCCGATTTTCAACATTGTGGGACGATTTTCAACATTGTGGAAGACGATTTACAACATTGGGAGGCAATTTACAACGTTGGGGGACAATTTACAACACTTTGAGTCGATTTATAACATTTTCAGACGACTTGCAACACTCTGAGACGACTTGCAACACTCTCAGACGACTTGCAACGCTCTCAGACGACTTGCAACATTATGAGACAAATTACAACATTAGGCAACCTACAGCAGACAACTTTTTTTATACAAATTAACATTTCTAAAAATTTTATGCTGCACCCTTACATAAAAGCTGTTTTATTTTGCTGTGGAGTACAAAGGATTAATCTCAAAATAATCACCTTACTAACATTTGTTTCTTTTTCTCCCCAGGTTCAACACGCCTCCGGTGTCTCCAAAACAGCACATCACAAGAAGATTCTTCACGTTTAGAAATTCAAACGATGGACAGCAACAAAAGTACGATACACTACCTCACAATGGACTGTCATCTTCCACGAGACAACCTTTCAGTCCTTCCAGCACCTCGAATGATTCCGTTAAACATTACACCAGTTGCACCAGCTACGCCAGCACCAATTTCCTAGACTCTGATGCAAAATTGCTGAATAATAGAGAACCCAAATATGCAACGTTGAACCCGAATGGATACAATGATCTGGGTCGATGTTACGATGCCAGGAATTTGTTTGAGCATAATTTGGGGTCCAAAACGCAGACGTTGGAGAAGAATTTGGATGGAAACTTTGTGGTGCAGAAGTACGATACCAAAAATGTGGATAGTAAGAATATTGGTGACCTAAATTTGGATAAGTTTGGTAGGGATCAGGTTGTGTTGGATAGCAAGCATAATTTTGGACAGAATTTGCATAGGTTTGGAAACCACAGTGTACCAAGTTCCCCACGTTTGCATTCGGAGAGTAAAAACCTTTACGATTCCTTAAACCATACGAGTGATTCTGCTAAATTTACACCTTTAATGCAAAGACACAATTTCAACTTCTTAGATAAGTACGAGACTATTAAACCTAGTGCAAATAGCAAAAGTGACTTTCATGTTTTAAACAAATTACGAAACGGTAGTCCGAGTTTTCAAAGACGTTGTGACAATTTGAGAAGTTCCAGTCCGGACCATATTTATAGTAGACCTGTGTTTAAATCTAGTGATAATAAATATAACAGCGGACAACTGAGTCCTTTTACCCCGAAAAGGAATTTCGAACTATCACCTTCTGAGGGTTTCTGGCAAGTACCAGCCAAAGAACCTTTATCGCCTGGGTTCAATAGAAAGAGGATACAACAATTAGGTATTTGAATTTTTTTTTTTTTTTTTTTAATGGAAAGATCATATATAAGTTTTATAACAAAGTTTTTTAACTTCCCGAAGGAGAAGTTTATGTTTTCATCAAAAAATCCGATTCGCTAATTTTATGTTTTCTCGACGTTTCGAGCCATTCTGAATCGAATGAGACCAAATTTGGAAAAAGTATGTGTGTGTGTGTGTATGTGTGTGTGTGTGTGTGTGTGTGTGTGTGAACAAATTTTTTGCCGTAAATCGACGTTTTCTCCAAAACGGCTGGACCGATTTCAAAAATTTAAAAGCCATTTGATGTATCTCGATGAGGACTATCGTCTTTGAGTTTTGTGCGGCGATCGGCCGGGCCGTTTCTTTGTAAATTGCAGAAAAGTGAAAAAATTTTCGCCCACGTTTTAGCCCGCAATTCTGAATCGATCCTGAAAATTCAAAAACCATTCGATAGATATTGGTTGGAAATCGTGCTGATTAGTTTTTGGTAAAGATCGGCCGAGCCGTTTTCTTGTAATAACGTTTTAAAAAAAAAAATTTCGACGATTTTTATGATTTTTTTTTTTGACGGTAGATACCATAGTTTTCTAGGTCATACTAAAATATTACGGCCCTACGACAACTCGTTTAGCTTTAAAAATTCGTCAAAGTTTGCAAAAATTGGTATAGTTTTTTTGACATTTGTCAAAATTAGACTTTTGATCGACGTTTTCTCAAAAGCGCCTGAACCGATTTTAGAAATTTAAAAGCCATTTGATGTATTTCGGTAAATAAATCTCTCCATATATGACAGCACTTTGAACTTGACCACATACCTTCTAATAAATAAGTATTTTCAATGTTAAATTAAGCGAATAAGATCTAGAAACAAAATAATTCAAATATTTTTTTGCTGATTTTTCAACACTTCAAGCTACTTACTTATAGCTACTTTGCCATTGAAGTGTTGAAAAATCAGCAAAAAAACAGAAAAATATTTGAATTATTTTATTTCTAGATCTTATTCGCTTAATTTAACATTGAAAATATTTATTTATTAGAAGGTATGTGGTCAAGTTCAAAGTGCTGTCATATATGGAGAGACGCAGTCTAACGAATAAATATTGGTACGGAACCCATAGGAATGCAAACAAAATTTATACTTATTGTTAAAATCTCTCTAAAATATCTGATAATTTGATGTGCATATGTCTAATGATCATTTTTGACCGCCAAATGGCATTTTTTTTTACTTTTTTTGTTAGATCTCCGAAACCGCTAGACCTGCCCTCATGAAAATTTTATCAATTCTTCATCTTGTCAATACAAGTCAAATGTTTTTTGAATTATTAAAATCGGACGCTCCGTTCTCTTAAAAACTGAGTTACCGTTTTCGGCACTTTTTGCCCCGTATCTTCGGAACGGCTAGACCTGCCTTCGCCAAAAACTAATCAGCACGTCTCCTTATCAATACGAATCGAATGTTTTTTGAATTATTCAAATCGGTTGATCCGTGTTCCTGAAATCGTCGACGAAAATTTGTATCCGCACATACAAACACACACGTACATACATACACACACACACACACACACACATACATCCATTTTTTCTAAGGTATGCCAAAATGTTCAGAAACCTCTGAAACGTAAAGATATATAAAAATTTTCATTTTCGATTTTTTTGCGATTACTATAACTTGCCCTACGGGAAGTTAAAAAACTTTTTTTTTTTGTTTTTTCTTTCACATATCAATAAATTTAATAATGTAGTTTTAAAGCGCATAAAAATAATTTTTTTTTCAAATTCCCAATTCTCGGAACAAGGAGTCTCGAGATCAGCCAACACGTCTCCTTTGCTTCTGGAACGGTTTTATCACCAGCAAAATCAGCATAGGAGACAAGCATCCTGTTCACCGCAAAGGCAACATTACATTGGTGTAACTACACCAAATTCTGCCAGGAAGATTTTGTTCGAGAGCCCTACTTCCAATGGATGTCGGAGCAACACTATTGAACATCAGATGAATAGATCCAGGCAGGCGTCTCCTTCGAGTGACACTCAGCAGGGTGATAGTCAGGGTGAGTAGAAAAATTTTATAATAGTCATTTCAGTAGTCCAATCATTTTTCATATAGCTCGATAAACGATCAATTCAGTGTTTTATTAACTTCCCGTAGGGTAGTTATTGTAATGGGCCGAAAATCGAAAATGAAAATTTTTGCATTTCTCGACGTTTTCAAGGTTTCTGAACATTTTTTAAGGGCATACCTCAGAAACTAAATGGATGTGTGTGTGTATGTGTGTTTTGTGTGTCTGAATTTTTTCGTCCACGTTTTCGGGCGCACGGATCAACTGATTTGAATGGTTTAAAAAACATTCGGTCTTGCCAAAAACTAATCAGTACATCTCCCTGCCAATAGGGATCGAATGTTTTTTAAACCATTCAAATCGGTTGATCCGTGCGCCCGAAAACGTGGATGATAAATGCGGACATACGAAAAACACACACGCACATCCATTTAGTTTCTGAGGAATGCCCTTAAAAAATGTTCAGAAACCTTCAAAACGTCGAGAAATGCAAAAATTTTCATTTTCACCAACCCCTATTTTTTCATAGCCATTTAAGCAATTCCCTCATTTTTTATTCCGCATTGAATATTTTTGATATGATTTTAGTTCAGATTTTTGAACTCAAAGAAAAAACTTATTTTTTTCTACAACATTATTAAGGGTTGTCTAATCCTAATATTTTTTTTCAATTTTGGGGTCAACTTTTTTCATTTTAATTTCTTAATGCAGGATTGACAAAATATATACAATTATTTTTATTATATTAATTAAATATATATTTTATATATATTACAATTAAAATATTATTTATTTTTATCAAGGTTTGTCCACCCATAACTTTTTTTAAAAATTTTTGACCTATTTTCTTTATTTTAATTTTTTATAAATTGAAATAGAAACAAACATAGAACTCTATTTAAATCAAAAAACTTATTTTATCAAGGGTTATCCACCCCTATTTTTTTAAATTTTGAAATCAATTTTCTTTTAGTTTAAATATGACTTTTATTTGACCTTTTTTCGAGTATATGAAAATGGTTAAATGTTACTTTGAACAATTTATTTTTATTAAGGGTTGTCCAACCCTAACACATTTTTTAAATTATGAGGTCATTTTTTTATTATTTGAAATTAAAAAATACGTACAAATCTATTTACTTCGAAAAACAATTTATTTTTATCAAGGTTTGCTCACCCCTATTTTTTCAAATTTTGGAATCAATTTTCTTTTAGTTTTAATTTGACCGTTATTTGATATAGTTTTAGTTAAGATTTATTTAATTATATGAAAATTGTTAAATGTCACTTTGATGAGCAATATATTTTTATTAAGGGTTGTCCAATCCTAACACATTTTTTCAATCATGAGGTCAATATTATTCATTTTAATTTTTTTAATGCGGAATTGACAAAATACATACAACTCTCATTACTTCGAAAAACAATTTAATTTTATCTAGGGTTGTTCACCCTTATTTTCTTAAATTTTGGAATCAATTTCTTTTAGTTTTAATTTGACCGTTATTTGACATTTTAAGATTTTTTTGAGTATTTCAAAATGGTTTAATGTTACTTTAAAATGCAATTAATGTTTATTAAGGGTTGTCCAATCCTAACACATTTTTTCAATTATGAGGTCCATATCTTTTATTGAAGTTTTTTTAATGCGGAATTGAAAAATACATAGAACTACATAGAAAAAGTATGTATTTTTATCAAGAGTTTTCACCCTTAAATATTTATTTAAAATTTTGGAATCAGTTTTCTTTTAATTTTAACTTTTATAATGCGGAATTATACTTATATAATTGTTATTATATAAAAAAACGTATACAACTCTAAATTTTCACCCTACTTCCACAAATCTCTATTTCATAATAGCCATTTTAGTAATCAAATAATAACTTTCAGTCAGCGAGTTTTTTCTTAGTGAATTTGATTTCACATTTTCTTGACTTTATGAGGAAGCATAAATTTTATTTTTTAAAAAAAACTATTCATTTTTATAAAGGATTGTCCACTCTTACCATTTTCCCATAGTACAAATATTTCCCGATGCGCACAAACAGTACATGGTTTATAAATAGTTTACGTAAAGAGAAATTTTTGCGAATAAATAGACATTGAATATTAAAATCTGAAGGTACAACAGTTTTTGATAGGAAACTGTAGGTATCGTACAAAAGGGTCTCGTCATGTTTCCATATACAAGCGGCCCCACCCTGGTATTTAAATAATTTTGATGCCATTTTTTAGGTATTTTCGAGAAAATTCGAAATACCAAATTTCAAATCCGTAGCTCATCATTTGGCCGGGATATCAGTGAAAACATGTGAAAGTGGCCCCTTTTTCAAACTCACTTTTTGTCGGAAATATGAGAGTTATCGAAAAACTGTTAACGACATTTTATTAATACTGATCTTGTCTATGTTGTTCATAACAAATAATGTGAAAAAATTATTTGTTAGTGCGTGAAAAGGTGAAAATGATTTTTCATTTCCCATTTTTTGTCAGTGCGGCTTTTTTGACTACTTTTATATTAGCATCATTCGAAACCCTGTACATTCTTCTTCTATTATTCAAAAATTCATTTAAATCTAAGTGGAACTTTGGGAGAAAAGTTGGAAAAACTTTATGGCCCTTTATGGCAAAACTGTACATTTCTACCCTTACAATTTTTTTTCAATGTCAGTCAAATCGCTTGGGCATGCCACATAGCAATATAATGTAAAAATAAATTATCGGATTTTGCGTCGTAATTTAAAAATTACTGGCTTAATGCAAAAGCGTGGTAATAATATATCAAAATCTTGAAACTTTAAATATGCCAATTCAATTTAAATAGTATCAGTTTCAGATTAGGTTTGCACTTGCAAAGACTATTAAGGGACGTTTATATCTGGCGTGTTTGCAGTGGGTAAACTATTCATATGTTATTTGTTAGCTGCTCCTTTCACTTATGCACCACATTTGCAATCAGTTACTCATTTTCGTACTAAAAATATACTAGAAATATTTTTTTGAAACGTTTGCCGGGCCAGTTAGTATATATTTATACATATATTTTCCCAACTATTTCACTGCATCATCTACCACCATTTCATTATATCATTCATTTATCAATCGCAAATTTCTTCCCCAACTATCCTTCATGTGTAACGCTAGAGGGCTGGTTGGACTCTTTGACAGGCGCCGTGAAGCGTCGGTTCGCGTCCTGCATAAAGGTGCAACTCCGGGGAAACGAGGCGCCCAGGTCTCCGACCGGGTCGACGGGCCGAGGATGCAAATCGACACAGAACGGTGCCATTCAGCAGGCCTCGTCGAGTTCTATACAAATGTTGGGAAACAGTTCGCCGGTTCATCATAGTGATATTGGTGCAGGATCTGGTAGTACCAGACTGATGAGTCCTGGTGGCAGTGTGCGAGTTAACAAGTTGCCTGAGTATCTGGAACATAGGAGGAGGCACCAGAGTCCTGATCCGCCGCCGAGACTTAACAGGTAATAATATTCTGATGACTGGATATTTTAATACTAACTAGGTTAATTTGATTTTTTTGATATTGAATTTGCAGAGACAATCCAGCGAGTCCCTTGGCCATACATAGAACCTACTTAGAAAGACTGAGCTCTAGTCCACAGTCACCTAGTCTGCCGAGAAGGTAAAATTTAATTTTCAACTTCATTTGCATGTTTATGAAATTGACGGGGCAAATCTGCATCATAAAATAGCATCGTCATGACAACGCTATCTTATATTTCTTTCTGATTATAGTCTAAGAGCCAGTGAACTATTTGACTAGCCTGTTTTCTCAGAGCTAGAAATTTTCTTAATGATATTTTATTATCGGTACATTAAGAAAGTGCCGGTCTGGCAAGCATCTCGCGATTGCGTCATCATCCTTCGAGTTTTTGAAAATGTAAAAAAAAAAACTAACTTGCTTTCACAAGACTCAAATTTTGAGGGTGTATTCTTTTAACTGTTCAGAAAGCATATGTAAAATGACAGAACATTCTGACAATTGCAAGCGTCTGCCAGACGAGTACATACGCGCAAGAGTGTGGGCGCTTGCCATACATAATCAACTAATACTTTTGTATTTGAATAATTTATACGTCATTTTGAAGGTCATTTTGAAAACATCCGATATACCAAACTTCAACTTTGTATCTCACCTTATGGCCGAGATATCATTGAAAATATTCCAAAGTTGCCCCTTTTTCAAACTCAATTTTTGGCGTAACCATAAAAGATATCGAAAAAAAAATTATGTGATTCTACTCATATTGGCTTAGACCACATAATGTATAGTAATATATGCTAAATAATTATTTATTATTAGCTAAAAAGGATAAAATAATTATTCAATTAATGTTTTCGGATAGTGCGTTTTGTTTAATTACTTTCTTATTAGCGTTATTCAAAAGCCTATTGTTTTTTCTTTTAGCACTGAGAAATTTTGTTCAAATCAAATTTGAGGAACACATTTAAAAATTGAAGAAACCAGAGTTTGTAAAACAGAGAAATTGTCTATCTACAAGTGCTGTAAGATTAGGCACATTTTTACATATGAACGAGAAGGATATGTTTATGGTTTCGCCAAAAAAAAATTTGTTTTTTCGACGTTTTATGTCATTATGAATCGATTGAGGCCGAATTTGGAAAAAGTATGTGTGCATGCGTGTGTTTGTGCATGTAAACTGATTTTCTGCCCTTTCTTCGACGTTTTCTCAAAAACGGCTGGGCCGATTTAAAAAATTTAAACGGTCGACCGAGCAGGTTTTTTTGTAATGAACTGTTGAAATTTTTTTCGACGAATTTTATGATTTTTTTTGACCAAATGACCAGTTTTTTATGTTCGTTGAAATTAGACTTTTTCATCGACGTTTTCTCGAAAAACTGCTGAATGGATTTCAAAAATTAAAAACTATTAGGTGTAGCATAAGGACTATGGGCTCTCAGTTTTGTGCGACGATCGGCCGAGCCGTTTCTTTACAATTAGCATAAAAGTGAAAAAAAGTCCATGTTTTAGCCAAAAATTCTGAATCGATTTAAAAAATTAAAAAACTATTTCTAAGATATTATTTGGGAATCCGTTTCTTTATAAATAACTGTAGATTTTTTTTTCAATGAAACTTTCAATGAGTCAAAATTTGAATTTCAAACATTTAAAAGCCATTGATATAAATTCGATAAGGAGGAGACGCGATTGGGTTAGCCTTGGTAAAAATGAATGTGTGTGTATGTATGGATACAATATATTAACCACGTTTTCGGGCGCACGGATCAACCGATTTGAATGATTCAAAAAACATTCGATTCCTATTGATAGGGAGATGTACCGATTAGATTTTGGCAAAGGCAGGCCAAGCCGCTACGGAGATATATAGCAAAGAGTGCAAAAAAGAGCAGTTTTTGAGAGAACGGAGCATCCGATTTGAATGATTCAAAAAACTTTCTGCTCGTTTTGACAAAATAATTGCTTTTGGAAAAACATTGTTTAAATTTTTTTTTGTATATTGAAAATAACTCAGATTTTAATTTTAATTCTGGCCTAAGTTCTAAAACACACTTATGTACTTCAAATAAATATTTTTAATTTTGTAATTCAGTTTATATAATTCTTATAAATATTATGCAATGTCCTTCATTTTAAATCCGATTGATTGAGTAAGCTTAGTTTATTAAGTTTTCTGTAGACATATATAAGTTACAGTATTCATAATCTATTTGTAAAAAAAAAATAATATTCCTCGAACATTTCATTACGGCACGGGAAGTTCCAGCAATTTGCCTTAAGGCATGATGTTATACACCACTAGTTTATTTTTAATATCCAAAAAAATAATTTTATTTTTTTTTAATATCTAAAGTGATTTGGATATTAATTTTAATTCTAGATAAATAAATTATAGAAATGTACTTTTGGCCAAAAAACTACCTAGACTAAGCACAGTCTAGGTGACAACGTGGTACAAATGTTCTCGCAAAAGCGTTTAGACTGTCTATGTACTGGAGCACTTTTCCAATTTTGTGTGAAAACTATTGAAAAATGTGAAAATGCCGCCAAGCTAAGCACAGTATAAGTGGAAATGTCGCACAGAATTATTTGCAAATGCGTTTAGACTGTGACTATACGGGAGCACTTTTTCAATGTTGTGTAAATTAGGCAACTTAGGTATTTTTTTTAAATTGAATTCTGAATGAAATGACGATTGTTAATGTTCCGGAGATGAATCGATTTGTGATTTACATTTGATTTGCTCACTCAGATATAACAAGATAGCAAAAATAATGAAAGTTACAGTATTTGTAATAATATATTTGAAAACGTTTAAAATTTCTCGAATATTTCATTACGGTACAGGAAGTTCCAGCAATTTGCCTTAAGGCACGATGCCATACACCACTAGTTACTCTTTTTTCTTCCAGGTATCCTCTGACTCCGCAGCCTCCGCCCGTAGACTTTCTTCAGAAAACAGTCAGCAAATTAGGCACCAGCATCAGCAGCATCAGCAGCATTTGTATTCCCCAACATTTGTGTCGACTACTATGACGTCACAGAACGAGGATCGATGACGTCAGTCCTGCCTGAGGACCGACTGGTTCCTCTCCTGACCGAAGGAAAAGAATTTAACGAAATATATTTATGATAGTGAATAATTAGGATTAAAATTATATGGTTAGACGATGAAAGGTAAGTGGAAAAAATAAATGATAGAGATTGATTGATTTCATCAACCAATATAGGTAAATGTGGAATATTTTACTAGTCTATACATATATAAATTTTATATTTAAATTGCTTATGATCAGGGTGGTCCTTGGTATGGACATTTTCGAATTTCTTTGCTCCCAAGGGCTCAAATGCTTCCATAATGATTAAAAAAAATTCTCTGAAAGTTTTAGCTCTTAATATTAACATTTAGATAGTCCGCAATTCAATTAAAAGTTTCGTATATTCATTATTAAGTAAATTCTGGCGCCATCTGTGATAGCAGACTTGCAATTTCTGATGGCAATTTATTACTGATAATTTGAGTGTCTACATCACCAATTAAACAAATATTTTGGTGCAAAATTAATTTTGATGCGGTGATAAATACATTTTTTATTAAACATCCAACATGGATTTAATTAGAGGTTAAGTGATTTATAAGTGTCATAATATTTGAGTTTACAAATGCTATCACAGATGGCGCAAGAATTTAATTGTGAAATAAATATACGAAACTTTTAATTCAATTGCGGACTATCTAAATGTTAATATAAAGTTGTCAAATATCTCCCTTCCGCCTTTTTGCATTATAAACCAAGAGCAAAAAAGCGGAAGGGAGATATTTGACAACCTAATATTAAGTGCTAAAATTTTTATAAGATTTTTTTATTAATTTGGAAGCACTTGAGCCCTTGGGAGCAAAAGAAATTCGAAAATGTCCATATTAAGGACCACCCTGATATACATATAATATTTAAAAGATACTCAAAATAATTTAAAAAAAAATGCTCAAAATTTTGTGTGCCAGTTGCTTTTTATATCGAGATTATATTTAAAGAGCTTCTATTTAGCTGATTTGATTCAGCATAATAAATATATATATATATATATATATATATATATATATATAT